GCGATTTTACACGTTGTATTGTGAAACTTGCATTTGTAAAGCAGGAAAGTTATTTTCACTGCATCTGCAAGCAGAGAAAGGTATTTTCTCAGTATTTCTAAGCAGACACGCGACTATGTGGTTGAAGATCGGCTTGCCATACAAATTGCATGCGTTCGGTTCTTTCTTAAACCAGAACATTCTGATTATTTATTTTGTTTGCGTCTTCCTCAGCTTTTCAGTCTCGGAAGGTGATTTTTTCGTTCACAACCAACGACACCCTCACGCTGACTGCGACTCGAATGCAGAAATGTCTGCGATACACTGATATGGTGTGGTATTACAATGTTCTACAAAGGCTTCTCTTCCAGTTTTATATAAGGCTGCTGCTCGTTTCGAGCATGCCTTGTGTTTATTTTTGTATGCTGCTGCACTACGCGTAAGCCAGTATTTTGGTGTAAAGGCAATAATAAAAAATTATTGATTTGTAGACAACAATAGGAAAATAGATTTGGTCATTCCAGGGTAATGTTTTTAAGCTGTTTAGCCAGCCTTATTGTACAATTACATAAGTGCCCAAATATGTAAAGTTCACAAAAATTGGCAGATTCCATGTACAGTGGGAATCGATGATATGGGAAGCACGATTGAGGAAGGTTGATATGTCATTCTAAAATCAGCATAACGTTACGAGGTGGAGGTAAATGATGCCGCACATGACTTATTTGTCATGATTATTACGTTTGGATGTGTCATTTACCTGATACCAAATTTAGTATATGTGGAGCTAGCGAAACGGCCGCGACCACGCCATAGGTGTGGTATGTTGTAATTTTCTTGAATGACACGTTTGTTAGCATTATCATGTTTGCACCAGTCATATGCTTTCGTCAACCATTGACGCACATAACACCAAATTCGGTATATGTGGAGTTGGAAAAACGACCGCGAGCGCATCATGAAGAACCCAATATACTCCTATGCAGCGTTAACGCGCACACGCTGTGCACAGCGACACTACGTTAGCATAACTCTATAGTCTGACGCCAGGCGCGACCAGCGCGACCAGCGTCTGTCGGCGTGGCGCGACGGCAACTGCTGTGAAATGTGGCATGCTGCATTTCGCGCCGATTCATTACCCAGAAAGCCCAGCGTGTCCCTTTTTTTGTGGTGGAGGGACGCCGGATGCGCCGAAACGCGCATGCATCATAGCAACTTAGCGCGGCGCGCGCCTGCGAGTATATGGCAGGACCAGCGCCTGGCGTGGCAACGCCGGCGTGACGCGTCGAAATGAACGCCGGCGAGCACGCACACCGCGCCACGTCGAAATGTATTGGCGCCTTGACTGTGGCATGTGGTCTTGTTCTCACATGACACACATCTCATGATTATGTTTGAACCAGTCACATACCTTCGTCATCCATTTACATCACGCAATACCAAATTTTGCATGTGTGAAGCTAGCAAAACGGCTGCGAGCGAATCATCACTGGGGCATGTAGTCATGTGGTTACGTGACACGCATGTCATGATTATCATTTATGTATGTGTCATTTACCTATGTCGTCCGTTCGCGGCGCGTAATACCGAATGTGGTACATTTGGATCTGGCGAAGTGGCCACGAGCGCATCACAGGCGTAGCATGTAGTCATGTTTTACATGACACGCATCTCAAGATTATTATGTTTGCACCAGTCACATACCTTCGCCATTAATCGACGTCATATAATACCAAATTAGGCATGTGTGAAGCTCGCGAAATGGTCGTGAGCGCATCGCGAGTGTGGAATGTAGTCACGTTGTTCGATGACATGCATGTTATGATTTTCATGTTAGGGTCTGTCGCTTGTAATCCATGCAGTCATGGCGAACCTTACAAGTTTTGCAACATGCCACGTGAACGAAACCACCGCAAGAGCTGCAGGACCATGAGTTGTAAATCACTACATTCATGACATTCATGTGATGGTTTTCGTGTTATGACTAGTCAATTATGTCCCTCATAATGTCATGTTATTGAATACTAAGTTTGATATTCATAAAATTATCGAAATGGCCAGGAAAGCTAATAGTCGTAGGCGGCTAGATAGATAGATAGATAGATAGATAGATAGATAGATAGATAGATAGATAGATAGATAGATAGATAGATAGATAGATAGATAGATAGATAGATAGATAGATAGATAGATAGATAGATAGATAGATAGATAGATAGATACGCTCAATGTCGCCGAAGTTCGCTAAGAAATGCTTCACATTTAAAAGACTTGCTGTCGGGATTGCATATTCGACGAAATGACTTGCGGTAAATGTTATATTAGAGTAAGTTCAATCATTTCAATTTCTGCATTTCTTACATGGCAAATAGCATGACCATTAAACATTAGCAAGGTAAAATTTTTTTGTCTCACTGGTAATCAAAAATGGGTCCGCATACATTGCTGTGGCTGCATCCCTAGGCCCTTCCCCCGATCAAAACTATACATCCTTAGAGCAAGCCTGTTATGATGAGAAAAGGGAAAAAGGAAGAAATATTTTATTGCGATAGAAATTATGTCAGCAATCTTTTATGTTTCGTGCTACCGCCGTCATACTGAAAATTATGTTCAAGTCAATATCATCCCATAGCGCATCGTATGCTCTGCCAGTGGGTGAAAAAGTGACAGCTGGACTAATCGAGGCTTTCGAAGCAGACATCAAACGAGCCCACCCATCTATGTCGCTCTGAGAAAGTATGAGATTATATCCCTTCCCCCCCCCCCCATGCTATATCTGCCATACAATTCCCTGTAAGAATTCACGGTATCTGCCGTAAAATGCTCAAGCAGAGCGTAAAAACCCCAGCCATCTCGGAAGAGAATGACAAAAAGGCCGTGGGGGGGGGGGGGGGGGGGGCACTTGGTTTGAGCAACGCTTGTTTGCGTTCAATCTAGGGTGCCGTAACGATAGGTTGCGCACGCGTTATCTGGCGCAAGCGGATGGCTGGTATTCCCTTTTTGTTTTGCGCTCTCCAGGCGAATAAGCTGTGCAAGAACACTTTTCCTGGAAGAGGACGTATTTTGTACGCCCACTTCTTGTATGTTTGATTGATTGATATGTTCGGTTTAACGTACCAAATCCACAATATGATCTGAGAGACGTGGTAGTGGAGGGCTGCGAAAATTTCGACCTTATGGGGTTCTTTAACGTGCACCCGTATCTGAGCACATGGGCCTGCAGCATTTTCGCCTCCATCAAAAATGCAGCCTCCGCAGCTGAGATGCGATCTCGCGACCTGCGGGTCAGCAGTCGAGTGCATTAGCCACTAGGCCACCACTGCGTGGCCGACACTTCTTGTAGAGGTATGCGATATTGAATGAAAAAGAATTATCTACCAGTCTTAGTTCGCATAACGTGACAGTTGGTTGCTATCAGAATCAGTGCTTCACCCTTTCGGTTATACTGTAATTCGTTTTCGCTACATTAAATTATGTGGCACAGTAAAAATCATGGACCATCTCTCCGAAGCCAGCCCTGGTGGGATGCGAAGCAGCAGCGGTGCCCACGGCGTTGACCCGGTCGAAACGGGCGTCGACACAAATGCTGGAAGAACTATTTGAAGGGAAACTCGTTGTACCGTTTACTCGAGTGAACGTTTGTTTGAAACGCAAGGACACGGGAGGTGGGTTTGGTTTTCTGTTAGTTTATTCACAGGCAAACGAGCTGACGCAGTGTCACCGTTCGGCGTGCGGTCGAGAGCTACGGGGGGTGGAGAGGTTGAAGCTAGAAAGAAGTGTGTTGCGAGTGGGTGAAGAAGCCGGCAGCTGCGAAGGAAGCGTGCGACGGGAGCGTAACGTCAACGCGCAGCTGTGGCGTGACCTACTTGGCACCACTTCGATATCTGCGGTGAGGGGAACGCGTTGCGGCGCGTTCAAACAAACCAACGTACGTCCGGCGTCCAGACGTGAGTCAAAGAGCTGCTTCGCATCTTAAATTTCTGGTCGATTGTTGCTGGCTTAAGCAACATAGTTGAAAGAATATAAACAAGATACGTGTGATTAAAATGTTGAGGGTGCGATACGACATCAAACCTTTACAAAAATAACTGGAAATGTGCGGTACAATAACATTTTACGTTCTAGGAATAGCTGGAAACGACAGAACATGCAGTCCTTTTCAGCTATTCGTGAGAATATTGATGGCTCTTTGTTGCTTAATGTACAAGCTGGCAACGCGAGGGAACAGCCTTAGCATGATTAAGGAGAGTGTGTGTTCAAGACGTGGTTCACTCGGGCCACGCCCCGCGAGCTATCTCAGTTCCACACATCCCCCCCCCCCCCCCCCACTTGGAAACAATGATCGAAACAGCTTAAGTTCCCCTAAAATGAATTCGTGGGACGCATTCCATCAAGAGGAGCGCCCGCGTTCACCGTTACCACTGATCAGACACACACACACACACACACACATACATACATACATACATACATACATACATACATACATACATACATACATACATACATACATACATACATACATACATACATACATACATACATACATACACACAGTTCAACAAAATGGATTAGTGGTCCATCATTGCCAGAAAAGCGCAATTTTCTTGTGGACGAGAGATAGCTTTGATATGAGGTTGTCAATGATAAACAGCCTGATCAAGCCCAGTAAAGTTAAAATTGCGCACATGTGTAATTGAAACAACAAAAAATATAAACAATTACTTGCAAACGCATTCACGCAGAACTATTCCTTAAAAATGCGCGTATATTATGGGTGACTTTATATACGTGACTTCATGAAAAGTTCTTAGTTTCCCATGTTTAAAATACAGCATTTATTGGACAATGACATACTTTCAAAATCTGGAAGTTCTATCACAATCTTTAACTGCATAGGCAAGACATCATGGAGAACCTATTGTAAAATTTTTGATGTAATTTCATATGTTTGCACTAACATTTGTCTAAGGTGTTGACAGCCATTGCTACGATAATCAAATCTGTTGGGAGTCAAAAGAATACAACAATATTTGTTTATTATAGGTGGTTTTGCAATTGCTGTTATTGGTAAGTCATGCGCAAAGTAGATGCTCCGGCTCCTTAAGGATGCTAGTATGTTTAGTACCACTAAGCGGACACACGTATTATCCTATTGCCCCTGCAGCAGCTCCCACCATCTTACTGATGCCAATAGCCTTTGCGGTATCACCGAGGGCATGACTCGCTTTCTTCTTCCATTTCTTCAGTTTCTTGACAAGGCCACGCTCACTGGTGTCATCACCGTTTTCGTCAATTACATCATCGCTGACCGCCAGTTCTGTATTTGATAATTCGACGTCGTTGGCAATATTATCAAGGCGTCCATTTACTTCAACCAGTTCTGCGACATGGTCACTACCCAGCGAACTACCGACAGCTCGAAGAGGAACTTCCAGAGAATTATGCAGTTTCTCGTCTGCGAAGATGAAAACAAAAGTGTGATGCAGGGGTTTGGCAACATGTGCGGTGAAAGCAGTCAAGGAATCACAATGTACAATATGGCTCTGATTTAACTAATAATATTTACACAAGAAACACTATGCTAAGTTCTCTACAAAGTATGTGTGAACGCGTTCGATGTATCAAAGTATGTTTTTAGAGGGCTTACTTGGCTGCAAGAAAAGTTGCTAAAATTTAACAAAAAACAAGTTAGTATAGTTCTCTATCCTCAGTTCTTGCTGTGGTTGTCGCAGAATTGACCAAACTTTCTCTATGCTGCTTTGTTTTGTCCTCAGAATTCAGAATGTGATAAAGCCGGCTATGTTTACGCAATGCTTCAATGGAAATCTTGTGAATATATAAACAAAAGGCGCACAATATTGAGCCGTAGATAGTATGGAGTTGTAAGCGAAAGATAACAAAAAAGTACCTTGCTCAGTTTTTTCGACAGCGTGCGTCTTGACCGCTTCACCACTGAAAAATAAAAGTGGACAAAGCTTTTATAATACCATCAATGCTTGTGACACAAAAATAAAAAGAACGTTTCGTTGCGTAAGGTGACTTTCCTTGGCAATGAAACACTCATTTGCTAGAAGAGGTGAAAGAAAGGTGAGAATTCTGGGCCGGAATGTACTCACAAAGCAGGGGCGCCTGCGAAAGAAGAAAAAGACAAATTTAGAAAATAAGAAAACCCCAAGTGTGTAGTGGGAGGAAGTTTAGGGCCTTCACAATTTTCGGGGTGGACATTTCTTATTGCTAGCATGACAGACGCTCCAAAATTCATGCACTTTCACTAAATAAAATAGTATTGCTTTATTTGTGTACACGAGTTTTTGTTGTTTTTTTTTTTGGTTACTGGGTGGCGAATTGGACACTGGAGTCACAGTGTAGGTAGCTTCAACACATGGGTCCCCAAAGCATTGACACAAGCAGTTCTCCATCATATGGCTTTGAACGTCCACGTGAGAACTATCTAAATGATTGTACATTCGCTAAAATTCTCTAGTACAGAGTATTAGGGTGTTGGGTATCCCGGTATCCGCACAGGCGTCTCCAGAGTACTGCGTTATTATTTGAAGGTGTCGACATCTATAGTGACGTTTTGTGCAATCCCAACTACATGTGCATTTCTTTGTTTTCGAGAAGTGACCATAGTGAAGGACGTCTTAGAAGGCGACGCATCCGGAACTACACCACTCCCAGACATTACACCAGTAGAGAAGTAGAAAGTAGTAGGTATCTGCAACAGGATTTGTGTGTTTGCCTCTCTGATTTCAGCGCCACCAAGTGGGTGACTAATTCAGCATCTCCCGTTTGTGACTGCTACAAACCGGTATGCTAAAGCCGATAAACGTGTGAACTAACTGAACTTATATAACGCAGCCTTCACCGGTTCGCTAGACGATGGGAAGGACCTCACAAAAAGCGGCCAAGTTCTGCAGCTTCAGTATCAATCTCATCTGCAGTGGATCTGTGAGTCACCGCTCACTGTGCGTCACTATAATGTGGTTTGACGCCACTAAAGCTTTCACATGCTCATTACATGGCGACATTTGTGTCTGTCACGTTATAGATATCTTTTAATCGTGAAAATGCGCAATGTAGATGCAGTTTGAAAGCAAACTACTACGCATTCCTAAAGTTTGCTGCGTCAAACGCTTCTCACAGTGTATCATTGCGGTCAAAGAAAGGCTACAGCTAGCATTTCATTATCCCAAAGTTTGATGACGGTCCTGCATCTCTGTTTACCTGTAGTTTGAAGGTTATACAAATGCGGAACATATACGCGTTCGTTCAATCAAAATAACCACATTGGCCTTAAATCATAATATTTATTAGGAAATAGCTTTACGCCTTTCATAAAACTTTACCGACAACGAAATACAGCTGTGCGTCACGGAGCAGAAATAAAGCTTGACGTCTTCCTCTTTGCATCTTTTGCTCTGTAAGACCGGAATTAACGAAACAGAGCTGTGTGAGAGGTATTAAGTACTCAATAAATAAGCCACACATGATTGATTTCTTCTTCAAGTCGTATTAGGCAGATTCTTATGAGAGAACATATGTTCAGACAAGGACACCTTTGACGTGACAACAGAACATAGATGGTGACATGATTCCGTGCATGCATATAAGGTGACCTCATTCTAAGAATATGTATAACTTAAACAGCATTCTGGCATTCCACAGTCTACAGTATAATAGGTTAAAGTGTAAATGTTGCAAGCTATAGTGGTTTGAGAAAAAAAATCTGCTTGATCTTAAAACGTTGGCGTACCTGCGTGTTTGTGTTATCTCAAATAAAAAAAAAACATGAGTACGAGTCTAACTTGGCCCCGCCACGGTGGTCTAGTGGCTAAGGTACACGGCTGCTGACCCGCAAGTCCAATTCCGGCTGTGGCGGCTTCATTTCCGATGTAGGCGGAAGTGTTGTAGGCCCGAGTACTCTGATTTCGGTGCACATTAAAGAAACCCTGGTGGTAGAAATTTCCGGAGCCCTCCAATACGGCGTCTCCAGTAATTATATGGTGGTTTTTGAATTTTAAACACCATTAATCAATCATTGAGTCTAGCTTGAAGTTTTAATTGTGGTTGGATAATATGAATGAAAAGAGATTAAGCCCAGAAACGTAATCTAATATTTCACCTCTATATCCGGTGTTACGCCTCGGACAACATAGGGTAATGAAACTGCCCCTGTGAAACAAATAATTTTATGCAGCTGCAAAGCAAACCTCTCTACCTTGCTATGGGTAAGTCATGTCTCTAAGCACACAAAACCAACGCCCAGAACGAGATGTGCCGCATCCGTCACATGACCATGGCATTCTCAGTAGCCAAGGTTGGCAGAAAATAAATATAAATAAAGTGTGTGCCCGCAGCGTTCACTACACACATTATCGAATAGCTGCACTTTAAAAGCTGCACTTGTCGAACATACATGTCTGTTTTCTCTTAAATAAACGGAGTCAACTCATAAACTCTTGAAGAAGAATGCCTACTTGGACAAGTTGGTTGAAATCTATGTTAATAGGGGCCGCAGCGCATGCTTGAAAGTTTTGGAAAGAAGAAGAGCACACGGAAGGCGAGAAACGGAAGACAAAGAGGGACCACATGAGCGCTGACACACACACACACACACACACACACACACACACACACACACACACACACACACACACACACACACACACACATATATATATATATATATATATATATATATAGGTTTGTGTATATATATATATATATATATATATATATATATATATATATATATATATATATACACAAACCTGTAAAATCTTGGAACTAGCGAACGTTAGCAACGTGACAGAGTTCCGAGGGAGTGTCCGATAAGAACGAAGCTTTTGGATAGGAGTTAGTCTTTTTGTTTTTGTGCGTTCGTTTTTAATGGACACTCCTCCAGAACTAAGTCACGTCGCTCACGTTTCCTTGTTGAGAGATTTTACCTGCTGGTATGTCTATATGAACATGTGTGTTGCGAAAAATATAATTCAGTTGGTAGTCAGCTCTCGTGTTGTCCCTCTTTGCCTTCCGTTTCTCTCATTGTGTACGCTATTGTTTCAGCACTGTCGTGCTTGTGCTGAGCCCCCTTACCATGCAATCAGTGTCTATATTGTGGAAAACTAAGCCGCTGAGGTAATGATAGGCACGGTCCGTTATAAGCCCTCATGTAACAAAGATTACTGAACGGAGGCATGAAGACTGCTCTCAACTATTGCGCTCTCCACAGGCACTCGCCGTGTGAGTGATAAGTTCCTTCCGTTTTTTGTCTCGTATATTCTTGAAATGCCTATCTTTTCTCAATCCGAAATATAACGCTATCAACAGCTTGAGCAAAATATATTAACATGTCCTTTTTTGGCCTATTTTCATGTGAGATAGTGAATATCTAGACATATAGAGCAGTGTGCCAGAGTGTAATCTGTTTTTTTTTCATTATGTGGCACTATTATTGCTAACACCTGGTGTTTTCACCTCCCTATATTTTCAAAGTCCGCAAAATAACGTGTGATTCCGATTTAGCATTTTTCCTGTCCTCTTTTTATCTTAGCGTTCTCGGGCGCATAGTGCTACGTCAAACTGGCTTCTCTGAGTTGATACTCTAAACGAAAAAAATATTCAGTGAACACTCACATGTTGTTCCCAAAACTGTGATCCATATGACGGCATGAAATTGTTGGAGGGTACAGACTCTGCGAAAATAACAGATGTCTCACGAGGTAATAATCAAACATGTCTCAAGAGATGGGTACTTCGGCAAAGACTTCTGTTTTACATAAATACTTTCCACAGTCGTGTCAATTCGTAACACTTGACAGCAAAGAATCGTGGCAGAATCACTAACTGTGAAGTATAGAAGTATAGACCTTCTAAAGAAAGTTTTTATGCGTTAACGAATTTCGGTGTTGACATCGTTCGCGTAGCATCTGCCATTGGTGAGGGAACAAGAGTACGCACAAATTTGTCTTTCGAACGTGCTGCAGAAGCACACGACTTGGTGCATGCAATTTTCAACATGGTGATGATATGTAGGTTTTAAATGCGCAAGGGCCATGTCTTGGCCAAAGAGCCCCATGGAAAGGATGAAACAGTGACAATGATTTCCAATGTAACAATGACATGTGAGGTATATCAACTAAGATGATGCTACCAGGCTGTGAAGGGCCTAAGATTGCTCGCCTTAGGGCGGGTAAATTATAATATATGAAAACCATGTGAGTGAGATGAAATAAAAAACTAAAGACTAATTGCAATAGTCATAGTACAAGAATAAGGAAATATTTGGGATTGACATGTTATTTAGCACATTTGCCTCATCACTGCCCTTGAACACACGAGCCGCGAGGCAGGGTGCTGTCTATGCGGCCACTGCAACAGCAACCTCCGTATGGAGGCCGTGCTACGGGTCACCTCAAAATATAGTGTTAAAACCATGTACTTCTTTTAAAAATAGAAACAATGATTTTTGTTTAAAGAGTGCATCCCTACCGATAAACATAGAAGGGTGCAGTGGAAGCTGCTGTCAATAGGGCAGTAAAGATGTTTTTTTTCTGATACCATCCAACTCGCTGCACTGGACAAGGATGTGGAGAACTGTAAGTGGTTCACCACATTTGTCACAGCTAGGTTGTTCTCCACCAAATAGAAAATATGAATGTGTGCTGTGTGTGTGCCCTATTTTATAGCCTGGTAAATGTTACTTGTCCGTTGCGTGATTTAGATACTTGTGGCCAATTGTCAAGTTTCTATTTGATAATATGTAGTTTATTTTCAGTCTGCCTATCCCATAGGCGCTGCCAATATGCTCTGAGCCTTTGTTTTAAGAAGTGCTTCATGTCAAGTTCAGGGACAGTCAAAGATGGGTTGGTGGCAGTGTTGTGCGCGGTTACAGCTAGCTGGTCCGCGGTTACGTTTCCAACAATCTCACGCTGCCCTGGCACCCAGCCCACCACAACATGCCGTTTGAGAGCGTAGATCATGCATAAAAGCGAGTAAAACGGTACAAGCACAGGATTTTTATGTTTTTTTTTTCAAATTTTCAAAGCTGTTACAACACTCAAAGAGCCCATGTATATAACCGTGCATTCTAGTTTAAATTGCTTTATATTTTTGGCAGCCACAGAGAGCGCATGAGCTTCTGCGATGAAAACGCTTGTTTGTGGGTGCAGAATACCGGAAGCTGAAAAGGATGGCCTTACAGCTGCATAGGACACATCAGTTCGAGACTTGAAGGCATCTGTAAAATATTCAGGGCAAGCGAATTTGTGTTTAAGTTCCATGAAGTATGTGTGTATATGTGCAATCGGTGCATACTTCGTCACTTCCGCAAAGGATACATCACATTCTATCACCTGCTACTGCCACGGCGGTAGGTGTGCAGCAGGAGCCATGCGACACTGTTCGAAAAGCGGCACACCTGTTATCTCGGCTAGGCCCCTCACACGAAGTGAGTAAGGCTGCCTCATCGAGGAGTGGTTTCCAAAAAGTGCACAACTAGACAAATCATTATTTTTGGAATGCATAGGGTTCCTTATCGCCGTTCACTTTCAGATAATAATGAATAAAAGGCATGCCGGATCTCTGCAGGGAGAGTGACCACTCATTCGACTCAGCGTAAAAGCTCTCTACAGGGCTCGTTTGATAGGCACCTGTAGAGAGGCGGATGCCCAGTTGATGTAGAGGATCCAGAATCTTTATTGAGCTTGGCGAGGCTGATAGATATACTATTGCCCCATCGTTAAGACGTGAACGTACCAGGCTTTTGTAGAGATTCATGAGGCACTTTCTGTCACTTCCTCAGGATGTGTGCGACAGTAACTTCAGGATATTCATTCTTTTCATGCATTTATTTTAAAGGTGTTGCGTGTTGATGTGTGTTGCGAATGTTAGTTTTGCATCCAAGATTATACCAAGGAAATTATGTTCTGTGCTTACGGGCGGAAGTTCGCCTTTCATGACAATCTGAAGATCCCGGTGTAAGCCGCTTTTCCGTGTGAACAGGACACATGTGTATTTTTGTGGGTTGACTTTGAACCCACTTTCATGAGCCCATTTGGACACTTTGTTTATAGCAAGCTGGACCTGGCGCTCACAGAAGCCGAGGTAACACGTTTGAAAAGCCATGTGGATGTCGTCAACATACGTGGAGTAAAAGATCTCATGGGGGATGTACTGACGCAGAAATTTCATTTTTATAATAAAGAGCGTGCAGATCATTACCCACCCTGTGGTACTCCGGTTTCCTGTACAAATGTTCGGGACAAGACATTGCCCACTCGAACTTGAAATACGCGATCGGACAGGTAACTTTCGATGATATTGAACATATTATCACGTATACCCATATGCGAGATGTCTCTCAATATCCCAAACCTTCACGCCGTATCATAGGCCTTTTCCATGTCGAGGAATACAGATAGAAAAAAATTGGTTAGGGACAAATGATTCACGTAGGCGTGCCTCAATCCGTTTAAGATGATCGCTGATGGATCGGCCTTCTCTAAATCTGCTCTGGTATGGGTCTAGCAGTTTGCTTGATTCTAGGAAGTGGAGTAGATGGCAATTATACAAATTTTTGAAAACCTTACAGATGCAACTGGTTAATGCAACAGGCCTGTAATTTGATGAAGACGACGGATCCTTGCCCTGCTTCAAAATGGGAATTATCACAGCTTCCTTCCAAGAAGAGGGGATCACACCAGAAAACTATACAAGATTGTAAAGGGAAAGAAGAGTGTTTTGTCTTTCGGAGGGTAGATACATTATGAGATGCTTCAGCATCTCATACATTATGGTGTCAGGACCTGGGAAATACGTGTTGCAACAGTTAAGCGCTCTTTGGAATTCCGCTAAGCAGATTGGCTCAATATAAGCCGCAATTTTTTTTAGATTTTCTTTCTAGGTTTGGTTGTTCCAACTGTGCTTTCTATTTTTGGAATGCATCAGAGTAGTGTGAGGAGCTCTATTTAGTTTTTAAATGTGCACCAAGAAAGTTGGCTTGGTTCTCCATGATTTCTCCTAGGGTATTTACTAGTGGAAGAGAATATGTGTGTTGGCATTTAAATTTCTGGACTTTGTTCTACACTTTTCTGTCATCTGTGTACGAGTTCATGCTTGTTATGAACTTTGTCCGGATTTTTCATCTGGCTTGTCTGTGAGTTTTTCTTGCCTTCGATTTGACCTGATCAAATTTTTCAGGTTTTCTGCTGTTGAAAAATCACGAAACAATGCCCACGCTTTATTCTGAATTATCCGAGTTTCCTACAGGCATAATTTCTCTATTGGACTTGCCATTTAGAACTCATTCCGCTCGTTTGAATAATGCACTTAGATTCGGCATCAAGAATAAAAGCAGTGAAATACGCGACAGCGTCATCTATGGTCAGAGCAAACAACTCAGTCCATGTCATGTGGGTAAAAGTTTGGTACTCTTCCCAATCAGCTGAGTCAAGCTTCCACCTCGGAACCCGCGAAGATAGTTGGCCTTTGTTTGGCACGCTCAGGACGATCGGGAAGTGGTCACTCTCATAAGTTTTTAAGAACATTCCATTTAAAATCGGCTAAAAGTGATGGTGTTGAAACGCTAAGATCTATCAAGGATTATGAATTGTTTGCAAGGCTAAAATACATAGGCTCCTTTGTATATAAGAGACATAACCTAGACGAATAAAGAAGCTGTTCAATAAGACGTCCTCGAATGTCACAGCGGGAATCACCCCGCAGCCCATTATTTGTGGTAAAGTCACCTAAAACAAAAAAGGGTTCTGGGAGTTATTCTATTACTGATTCCAAGCCGCGCCTCTTAAGCTGATGGTGAAGTGGTATATACAGAGAGCATAAGGTGATGAGTTTGTAAAAAAAAGTACAGCTCCAATGGCCACGGCCTCAAGGGCTGTCCGGAGCTTCATCTGCTGGCATGCCACACTTTTAATTTCTATAAAGACTACTCCGCCGGATGATACGGCAGCATTTTCACGATCCTTCCGGAAAGTTATGTATTGGCGAATAAAGTTGCTGTATTTAGGAGTTAGGTACGTTCCTTGCACACACAGCACTTTTGGGTTGAAGTTACTGAGAAGGTCGTGAGCATCATTTAGATTTATGAGTAGCCCTCTAACATTCGACTGAATGATTTTATCCATTATGAATTAAGAAAAAGTGCTGTTCGTAGACAAGACTTAGATTGGTTCATTTTACAGGGCCTTTGTGAGGCCTTGTAATTGGTGTTTGGTCTTTTTTTTTGAAGCGGTCGACAAGAGGTCTCCGCTCCTTTATGCTACCGGCGCCGTTTGGCTAGGAGTGATGCCCATAGCCTCCTGTGAGGCACTGGACACCCACTCCAAAGAGCAATCTGTGTGCCGCTTAGGCTTCGCCTCAGTCGACGAAGCCTTCGCCCCCACCGGGCACGAGGTTGTTAGAGCCTCCTTCGCCTCCTCATTTCTCTGGCTGCTGCCAGTGCTTGTAGAGGCCAGCGGTGTGGACTGGTTGGCTGTGGGTGGGGCAGCGCTGGCTGCTCCCACCAGAGGGGCAGGTGGCTTTGACCTGGGCACGCTAGGCATGGTCCAGGTAGACGCCAAGGGCCATTGTGGGGCCGCCCTTCGTTGCACTACTTCAGCGAAGGACGTTCTTAGTGCGAAAGAAGGTGAGACTCGCTGTCGTGCTTCACGGAACGTTTTATTTTCGTTAAGTTTTATGGTGATAATTTTGTTTTCTCTTTTCCAGGCTGAGCAAGCTCTGGAGTATGCAGCATGGCTGCCTTTGCAGTTTGCACAGTGAACCTCATCATATTCGCACTCATCAGTACCGTGACGAGTTACGCCGCACTTTACCACAAGTAAGCTGACCTCGGCAGGTCTGAGATCCGTGTCTGAATCACTGGCATTTAGAACAACGTCTCTGGTTAGGAACTTATTGACGCACACGAAGTTTTACGTAGCCGGTTTCGAGTGTCTGGGGTAGAATGCTTGAATTGAAAGTAAGTATTAGGTGCTTTGTTGCCGTTTCAGTGTTGTTGCGTCTGATTTTTATGCGCGGTACATGTGTTATGCCTTGGTCCTTCCATCCGTCAAGGAGTTCCTCTTCGCATAGTGTCATAAGGTCTTGATCGGATACTACGCCCTTCACGGTGCTCAGAGTACGATATGCAGTAACTGATACAGAGGTATTGCCAAACGCTACGAGGTGTGAAAGTTTGTTGTAGTGTTCCTTGTTTTTTTTCAAAGAAAATGTCCCCCACTTGCCATCTTTGTGGCCCTATAGCCGGTCCCAATGGTGTCCTTTAGGCACTTGGCCACGAGAAAAGGTGATATTGCTCTGGCTTTAGTAGATATTTCTTCAAAGTGAACAACATGGTATCTTGGGAAATCTTCAATGTTTTGTGGGAAAAACCAAGAGGATGCATCGGTGCGCAGCCTTTTCATGGAACGATCGGTTAAAGGAGGGTTCTGAGGTCCCATGAAAAAATGGCTTCTTCGGCAGCGAAGCCTACCACCCTCCACGGAGTCCATTAAGGGAACGTGGCAGATCATGTGAACAAGTCAGCCTTACACCAGCAGTACGCCATCGTCATAACAGAATATGGTTTACCCTAGGTAGGATAGCCACACAAGGTTAACCCTAGCCACCAGGAAACAATGAAGTAAATAGAAAACAGAAGAAGACACGACAGATTTAGAGGGAAAAAAGACGAAGATGTAAGAAGAAACAGACAGGAAGAGGCGACTGCCGATTCCACCTGGGTGGGTTAGCCTAGGGGTGCTGCCTACGTGAAGCCAGGGACAAAGGGGTGTGTTGCCTCTGCCGCGGGGCCTTAAAGGTCCAATCACTCGGCGTCAGCTCAACCCCCAGGATCCCCTTTTCCGCAGACATGGCAAAGCCACGCACGGCTAGGCGTGGGAGGGAGTCGAACCTCCCCCCCCCCTCCTTGTTAGCTCGGGTCCGTGGTGACGCTACGCACCAAACGCCTGCTCTCGCAGACGCCACTGCGGGGTGCCATTTTCAAAAATTAATGGCTTGTCGATCGTGGTCTTGTCCAAAATAGCAGTCCGTCTGTATTATGGCAATCTGATCTACGCGCTAAGTCACTTGTTATTTGATATTGTAACATTTCATTGACGCAGTTCACAGTTGCATTTCGTTAATTGACGTCTGACCGTCATCGTTGCTTCCGCCGACTGAAGTGTTGTGCCTTCAAGCACGTCGTTGAAGGGCGCATTATCGGCATGATGAAGGAAAAAGTTAGTATGGAGCACTGCTCAATGAGAGGAACAATGAGAGAAAAAAGAAAGAAAGAAAGAAAGAAAGAAGAGATAGAAGTAAAGCGAGAAAAAAAGAATAAAAAGAAAGAAATAAGAAAATAAAGAAAGATAGAACGAACAAAAAAAGAGAGAAAGAAAAAAAAAGAATTTAAGAAAGGAAGATCGAAATAACGAAAGAAACAAACAAAAAATGTGGGACTTTTCACCTACCACTGTATTTTCAACTGCGAGATGAACTCAGCTCTTTTCTTTAATGCCGTTCTTAGTGTGAAAGAAAAAGCATCATCGCTCCAAGTTGTGCCAGTGCTTTTACACATCATCCAAAACATAAACAAATATAAGTAGTAGAGCTCACGAATCACCTATTTTCACCAGTGTTTTGGCCAAGAATACAAAGAACACCTCGCAAACAGGAACTTCAATGAACTAGTGCACGAAAATTTAATATGCACACTACAAACTGCTTTTCAGCATTATTCTAACATTGCAGAAAGAGTTGTTACACTTTGCCTGACCAGCTAGTGAATTCACCAGCTACTGAGAGTACAAATGTTGCGTCAGTGTTCTTGCGAAAATGTTCGTTGTCCAGCAAAACTATGCAAACTGGACAAGAGATTTAAATTCCCAATCTCAAGCTTTTTGACGTCAGCTGGGTCTCACTGCCTGCCCGGCTTGTTTATGAATACCATTCGCTGTAGTCATCACAGTGCGCTGTCCGCAATGCTTCACATTGAGAGAAAGAAAAAAGAAGAACGTTGCGGAACGAGAGATCTGACATGTGGCTTGATAGGGTGTTTGAAATTACCTACGTGCATTCTTTAACATAGTTGACTAATCTCCCACATGCTCAACGTCACTTGGCAGCTGGGAGTTTTACGGTAATAATGAATCATATAAACGGTGTCCCTGCATCGAGGAAAGAGTTCAAAGAAGCTGATCCCTAGTTATTTTTAATTATAAAGACCAAGCGCGTAATTTCGCTCAAGTTCATAGGTCACCTAAGCTGCTCAGTACCTGAAAGTCAAATAGAAAATGAAAGCAAATAAAAACCTAAATGAAAGTAAGTATGTCTCATAAAATAGTATCTGTTACTCTATCTTTAGATGGCCTGACGATTCACACTCATGCAAGGGTTAAAATCAAATAATAAAATACAGGTACCGATAGCGTATATAACTTACCATCAAAACATTGATACGACTGCGCAGCCGTGTTGGTAACAAAATATACTTGATAAGAACTTCAAATTTTACCAACATCGTATAGATTTATTTGCGTGACAGCATCAAATGTTCGAATATCAACTTAATAGCTTAAAGCATGTGTCGTATCCATTATCACTTGCAGTTAAAAACAAATGATGACGGGTTTCAATGAGCTTGCACCATCACGCGTGAAAAAAGCTTTTACTTTTTCAATTACAATGTCCGCCTCAGTTCTCTAACACACCCTTAAGGGTCCGTACAACGCTTTGCTGAATAATTTTCAAAAGCTGTATTCAAAGAGCTGAGAACCTTATCAATTGACTGCCACAAAAGTTTTTATATTCCTTCAAGTGGCAGTAGAGTTCCGCGGATTTCTTGAATGATTCAAGAGCTTTCTCCCTGTGGCGGCTGCATTTCCGATGGAGGCGGAAAAGTTGTAGGCCCGTGTGCTCAGATGTGGACACACGTGAGAAAACCCCAGGTGGTCGAAATTTCTGGAGCTCTCCACTACGGCGTCTCTCATAATCATATGGTGGTTTTGGGACGTTATACCCCACATATCAATCAATCAAGAGCTTTCTCTCTGCTTTAGTACGAGTGAGTGCACCGAAGAGGATGTCATTCCGCCCCTGCTACCGCACTCACTTGCCGCAGTTGGTGATAACTTGCGGTGGCCGCGGTAAGTATGCAGTTGACAAAGCTGAAATAAGCAAAATTGTGCGGACTTTTCGTTTCATGCGCGGTCACATGCATTTATACATCACATTTCTAGAAAAGAGGGAACAATTTTTCGCCTAATTTGACAACTAATCGTGCATTAAAGGCACTGAGCTCTGCTATTATGTTCGTCTAGCATCTTCTTAGAAGCCTCGACTACCGATGGGCAGTGTACTGCTCACCATGGTAAAAAAAGTGTTGCAGGGCTCCTTCTAACATCTATACATGAAATGATACATTACAAAAAAACATATATGTTTTAAAGAATGCATTGAAGAGTGATGGCCCATTTCTTGGGCTCCTCTGAACATGTACTGATGCTCGACTGGACATGTGCACATATCGGATCACTTTTACCAGTGAATCGAATTCTGCTGAATTACAAAGCTCGCACCATTGGGTACACCAAGAAGAATTTTCGTATTTTATAGGACATGTTTTTCTAATCTCACCAGCTCAAAAAGGTGTTGTGTGAACGCTGAAGAGCTAGGACTCGGAAAAGTACACGTTTACTTCTGCGAGAACAGCCACCGCGCTTGCCAACATGGCAACATCTGCCACCTATTTAGAGGCCCAATCACACTGAGTGCTATCACGGCCTACCGAGTGCGGGCAGCCTCTATGTCTTTTTATGACTCACCTACGCATTTGACCTGAACGTGCTTACCTCTTTGAGCTAGGAGGTGTCCGCCATGCTCCACTTCTATTCGTCGTCATCTTAGGGGTCGGTGAAGGACACTAATGCAACCCGGAAACCGGTGAAAGTGGCTACCAGAAAAAAGTTCTGCCAAGCTCGGGCGTTAGCAACTCCGTCAGCCGGTCGTGCAAGCACTCAGCCCAGCTGGGCCAGCCACGGCAGAGAACACCCACGCTGAGCCCGCAGCTGCAAGATGTGTCACACCGTACCGAACAACACCACATCTGAATGACTGGCGCCAGTTACGAAGGACACTACTGCCACTCTCGCAGATGAACTTACCGATGACTATCTGCGGAAAGAGGTCCGGCTCATACACAACTTGCTGACGCACTGAATCTGCCAAGTTCGAGAGCTTCGTCCATATCACTGGCCAAACATTTTTTTGTTGTTGGCATGCCACAAGCTGACACGGCCCATATTCTACTCCAAATGGCTGTGGATTTGCAAGAATTAAACAAAACATATCAGCCGCTAAAGTTTTGCTGTATTCATTTACATTGCCACATACCCAGGAAAGCACTAACGAAATTCACCTCCATGCCGCAGCGGCTTCATTTTTGATGGAGGTGGAAATGGTTGAGGCCTCCCTGCTTAGATTTAGGTGCACGATAAATAACCCCAGGTGGTTGAAATTTCTGGAGTCCTCCACTCCGGCGTCTCTCATAGTCTTAGTTTTAGGGTGTTAAGCCCTAACAATTATCATTTTCGTTGTCTGCGTCTGCTTTCTCTTTCGCAGGTAGGAGTGCATTCACACTGTTTTAAATGCGAAGCCTCTCTTAGCCAACTTCAGCGACTTTGAGCGTATCTATCTATCTATCTATCTATCTATCTATCTATCTATCTATCTATCTATCTATCTATCTATCTATCTATCTATCTATCTATCTATCTATCTATCTATCTATCTATCTATCTATCTATCTATCTATCTATCTATCTATCTATCTATCTATCTATCTATCCGCCTACGACTTTTAGCTCTCCTGGCTGTTTCGATTACGGTATCCATACCCAACTTGGTATGGCATAACATGACTGTATGAAAAACATATCTCACTAGTCATAACATGACAATCGTGACCTGTATGTCATGAATTAAATATTTTTTATTCATGGTCCTGCAGCTCTTGCGGTGGTTTCGTTCACATGGCATGTTGCAAAACTGGTATGGTATGGCATGATTGAATGGGGAACACAAGTGACAGACCCTAATATGAAAATCATGACATGCCTGTCAAGTAACAACATGACTACATGTCATGCTCATGATGCGCTCGCGGCCGTTTCGCTAGTGTCAAATATACCAAATTTGGTATTTTAGTACGTGAATGAATGACGAAGGTATGTGACCGTGACCGGTGCACACAAACATGATAATCATGAGATGCGTGTCATATAACAACTTGACTACAAGCCACGCTCATGATGCGCTGGCGGTGGTTTCGCTAGCTTCACCTATACCAAGTTTGGTATTACGGGACGTGAATGAATGACGAAGGTATTATAGTGGTGCAAACATGATAAACATGAGATGCGTGTGATGTAACAACATGACTACATGCTCCGCTGAGGATGCACTCACGACCGTTTCGCTAGCTTCATATTTACCAATATCGGTATTGTGCGACGCGAATGAACGACACATGTAAATAACTCATCCAAACATGATATTCATGACATGCGTGTCATGTAACAATACGACTACATGCCACACTGATTATGCGGTCGAGGCCGTTTCACTAGCTTCACATGTGACAAATTCGGTATTACATGACGCTAATGGATGACGAAGGTATGTGACTGGTGCAAACATTATTTCAGACTTCAGATTTCATATGATCATGAGATGCATGTCATGTGAGAACAATGTACATGCCACTGTCAAGGCGCCTATACATTTCGACGTGACGCGGTTGTGTGCTCGCTGGTGTTCATTTCGTCGCATCGCGCCGGCGTGACTACGTCAGGCGCCGGTCCTGCCATATACTCGCAGGCGCGCGCCGCTCTGCGTTGCTTTGACGCATGCGCGTTTCAGCGCGTCCTGGGTCCCTACGTCACGGAAAGAGGGAGACGCAGTGTTGCCTGGGTAACGCATCGGCGCGAAATGCAGGTTGTGGCATTTCGCGCCGGTTGCCGTCAGGCCGCGCTGACGGACGGTGTTGCGCCTGGCGTCTTGTTGAGGTCGCTTCGCTGTGCCCAGCGTGGATGCAAGTCAACTCTTCATTGGAGTATATTGGGATTTTCATGGCGCGCTCGCGGCCGTTTGGCTAGCTGCACATATACCAAATTTTGTGTTATGTCATGTCAATAAATTGCGAAGTATATGAGAGGTGCAAACATGATAATCCTGACACACGTGTTAAGAGCTTGACAACGAACCACACTCATAACCTGCTCGCGGCCGTTCAGCTTGACCTGATATACTAAATTTGGTATCACGTGACGTGAATATATGAGGAAGGTAAATGAATCATCAAAACATGATAATCATGACACGGAAGTCATGTACGGCATCATTTACCTTCACTTCTTAACCTTGTGCTGATTTTAAAGTGACATATCAACATTTCTCATTCGGGCTTCATATATCACGGATTCTCACTGTGCGTGAGATTTGCCTTTTTTTCATCAATGACAGAAAGACGATGCGGGGTCTGGAAGGCACTTGATCTTTATGGTCATCAGCCACAGCACAAGCAAGTATCATAGATATATGCAGCTTGTACCTCGCCTATAAGCAGAATGACGAGTGGCATATTGGCATAATGGATGCTTCCCTACCCAATGAAAGTTACGGGAAATGCATAGTTGGTACCTTTCATGTACTATGCCGTACACTAGACAATGAGCAAGTAAATGGACCCTAAAGTACGTGTTTCAACCGTAAACACTCTGTGGCCCCGGACAATGTTCCAAGCACCCTTGCAATACTAGCACTATTGAATTACACTTGATTCGTAACGGCAAATACAAAACTTGTTAACCTAAACGAAAGTGGTTCAGCGCGAAGGTGTACATTTACAGCGTCCATTCTCACTGAGGGCCGCAGTCTTTTTGTTCTCTTTATTTAGGAGTTCTTGCTAAACAAATAATTCAAGAAAACGTGGCCTGAAGACCAAGGTGCCATGTTTCACTTTCCAGCGCCGCATTGGTCTATTTATGAAAAACACTGAAATAGTGCTCCTAAATTTACCAATAGAGAACATTCATTTGTAGAAAGGTAAAATGTGCAATTATGCATTGAATTTGTGTTTTTTGTAGAGGCCGATATCCCACTGCATTCATACTGAACTATCTTGGCGTAATCAAACGGGATGCAAAAGAAGGTGCGCAAATTTTTCTTCTTCTGGGTACTGCCAGTTTGCGTTGCCCATACTTCAGTATTATTGCAGTAAAGTTTAGCCTGTAGAAGGAACTTGAAAATCTGACGCACCGTTGCACATCGTATCTTTACCAGCTAGCCGGCTTTACCAACTAAAGTCTACCTTGACTAGCCTGCTTCTCAACCCTTCTGCAGCTGTACTGCATGCCCTGTGAGCTTACAGTCATTTACAAAATACTTTAATTAGGTCAAAGCTTTACGTGTCTTATAAAATGCGACAATAACTGGTGGCATAGTTTGCGCTCCATATCGGTGGCATAACACACGTGACGCAAGAAATCTACATCCAAAGATTGATTGATACTTGATTGATATGTGGGGTTTAACGTCCCAAAACCACCATTTGATTATGAGAGACGCCATAGTGGAGGGCTCCGGAAATTCAGACCACCTGGGGTTCTTTAACGTGCACTCAAATCTGAACACACGGGCCTACAACATTTCCGCCTCCATCGGAAATGCAGCCGCCGCGGCCGGGAATCGAACCCGCGACCTGCGGGTCAGCAGCCGAGTACCTTAGCCACTAGACCACCGCGGCGGGGCGAACATCAAAAGATGTTATCATAATACGTATTATACCATTTATTGGTATCGCTATAGCGTCATGATGCTGCAAGATATTTATGACGGCGCCTTCCCAAGACATTTTCGCTTAGTCAACGATGAGCCGATCATGGGGCCAGTTCCAAACCAGCTAATCTGCCAAACGCTTTTGATGCATCCAATTATTGAGGTAGTTCGAAACCATGTTTGGGGCAGTAACAATACAGAGAGGATTGGACGAGCATTAGTGCAACCACCAAGGAGAAATGGGAGATAGCCTTCGCCGTCCTGTCAACTTTGGCGAATGCATTTGATGCCAGGTAACTATTTCTCGACAATCACTTTTTTAGACAATGCTAAGACTTATCAGCACAATCAACAATTTCGTAGAGTAATGTCCGCGCTGTTCGATATAATAAGTGCTTTATACAGCAACCTTTTATTCAGCTTTAAAGAGAACCCAGAACATGTATCTCCTAACATGGCGCACCAAGCTCTTTGTTGTAAAGAGCATCAGCAACATCGGCTAGAAAATTCTACACCTTCTTTCAGTTATTCGGCTTCTTTCTTAGACAATGCGTTCTCGAGCGGCTTTTATTGGAACTCGTGTCACCTTCACCACAACTAATCTTCAGATGACCTTTGCGTGTTTTGTATAGATAGTTCCTCATGTACTAACACAGAACAAGTTAGGTGAGTTCCTTGTACTTTATTACCTCTTTCTTTGCACTTCGTAACGTCTTGCACTGTAGGAAAAACAAAAAAGTGCACTGCACAGTATGCCACTACACACTCAAAAATTAGCTCTCGTAAGGTGAGTGAGAAATAAAGTGAATAAGTAGGTCACAAAACACTTTTTTTCGCGTTAATGGAATTTGAGCGTTATTGTCTTCATATCAGTGCAGCGATGGCGTAGTGGTTAGAGCATTCACCTCGCATTCAAGAGGTCCGTGGTTTGAATTCCGGGGCCACGCAGTTCTCAAACAGATTAAAACTAATCGACGTGGTGATGGAAGTGCATTAAGAGGCCTGAGTTTTGGCCAAAGTGGTGAACACCACGGGTAACGCAATCCCTCACTAGATAAAGATTAGCAATCTTGGTAGAGTATCTTGCACTACCTCCCATATGGAGGAGGAAGCAACAAAAGAAGAAGGCGAGGAGGTTAACCAGAAAGATATCCTGTTGACTACCCTACACTGGGGGATTGGAGAAGGGGACAAGAAAGATGAGAAAAAGCGAAGAGAGGGAAAAC